GGCACCGCCTGCCCCGCCCGCGGGCGGGGTTTGCGCATCTCCCCTTAGGACATAGCTGCGACGTGCGGAGCGTTCGTGCTTCCCGCTTGGGCGGGTTATGCCTGTGCCCGTCCTCTTCGCACCTCCCTGGCCCTGTTGGTTCGTTGTGGTCCCTAGGGCCCGCGGCCATCGGGGGCGCGGGGTGCGTCTTCTTCGTTCCGCCTCGCCCTTGGCTCGTCGTTGTGGTCCCTAGGGCCCGCGACAGTCGACGGGGGGGGGCGGGGCGGCCGGTTTCCGGCACCGCCTGCCCCGCCCGCGGGCGGGGTTTGCGCATCTCCCCTTAGGACATAACTGCGACGTGCGGAGTTTTGGCGCTTCCCGCTTGGGCGGGCTATGCCTGTGCCCGTCGTCTTCGCGCCTCGGCCTTCCTTGCCCCGGCGCAGCGTTCGCGTTTTCTGCTTGGGTGGCCCCCCGGATCGGTTTGCGCCCGCGCGCCGGGCGCCTGCGTTTCGGCAGCTCGTGGCGCCCTCCCCCGCGCGGCGCGCCCGCGCCTGCTACCAGCGGGGCCCCCGGGCCGCGTTTTCTTTTGGGCCCGAGGCCCGAGGCCCGTGCCGCTTGCGAAAGATTCACGACGCCCGGTAGCGCGCGCGCTGCCGTTCCGCGCCTGCCCTGGCACTGCCGTTCCCGCGCTTGTGAGTGTGTTCCGCGCCTGCCCAGATGTTGCGCCGACGAGCCTCGCGCCCCGCTTTTGTTTGCTGCCCCGAGCGAGGTATGTGCTGCTGCTTGTCATAAGTGATTGCGATTCATCCCGTTGTAGACGCTCGCCGGTCAGTTTCAGAATAGACAGAGGAAATGCCTCGAACCAACGCGGTCCGCACCGTGCGGAAGGAGCCGGCCGCGGCTGTTCCGAAGCCTGTGGCCGCGCCGAAGGGCAATGGTTTAATCCCTTTGCCCGCGAAAGGGCAGCCAGCGAAGGACCGGCAGGCCGCTCCGCACCCGCAAAACCCGCAACAGCGGCAGGCTTCAGAAGGTTTTCGGACCTCGGCCGTGTCATCTTGGTGCACGATGTGGCCCGCGGGGTGGTTTGGTCAGTCGAGCCAACGCCGGCGGCAGCAGGCCGGGCGGGTGTTGGTCGTGTTGTGCCGCCTCTCTTTCTTCGGTTGGACCGCCTGCACTACACGGCCTACGCTTCCGCGGGGGCTTTTGCAGTATCCGCGGGCAAGGCTCCTCGCTCGTCCGCGCTCGCCGTCGCATTGTGTGGAGGCGCCGCTGAGGAGCTGATTGACGAAGTGGCTCAATTTTTCGCCAACTTTGAGAACCAGGTGGCGCCAAAGGACGACTTCGAGGATTTCCTTGCGGGGTTTGGATTCGCGACGCAGGTAAGCTGTTGGGTGTGTGTATTGATTTGGCGTGTGTTTTGGCGCTTGGTTGCGTGCTTTTTTGGGGTGTCGCTTTTGTGGTTCCGATTCATGTACCCGACGCGGCATGTGTCTACTTTGATCACAGGACCGGGTCCGGGATATCGTCGAGCGGCTTCTTGATGACGCCCAGCTGAACGACTATGACACGCACTAGGAGTATGTCGGGCGGCCTCCGCGACCCCGCGATCCCCAAGGCCCCGCGGGACCGGCCGGCGGGGCGCCAGCACAAGCAGCGGAAGCGGGTCCGCAGCCGGGAGGCGCAGCACCTGCGAACCCGGTCGGGCAAGCAGTCGCAGGTCAGGCGGCGGCAGCGCCAGTGAACCCGCAAGCAGGCGAGGCGCAGGCGGCGGCAGCGCCTGCGAACCCGCAAGCAGGCATGGCGCAGGCGGCGGCAGCGCCGGCGAACCCGGTCGGCGCGGCGCAAGACATCCGGGAGATCTCGCTGCCAACTTTGCGAACGGACCTTGAGGATTGGGCTGCGAACTTCGGGAGGGGCCCCCAAGAATCGGAATACGCCTTCATCGCTCGCCTCATGGTGCAGTATGTCGTGGATTGGGAACAGGGGCTACAGGAGAAGTTTTCAGAGTATCACTCCGCCGGGCTGATTTTCCTCCTCCTGCGCAAGTGGGCACTCATCGTCGACGGACAGTGGTCTACTTGGGACGAGCAGTGGCAGGACTCCAGCGACATACAGATCAACTCCGTCATGCAGGCAGCCTGGGCGAGGGTCCGGGACGAGCTGGAAAATAATCCACCGCCGGAGGGCTGCGCTTTCCTGTCAAAGCTAGACAACGCGATCCGGAACAAGCCGGCGCTAACCCTCAAAAAGGCAGCGCCGGTCTTCCACACCGACCGGGCCTTCGACAGTTTCCCGCGCTTCTTCGCCCTGCGGAACTGCTGCTACGATGTCGCGCAGAGAACCTTCATCGCGAACGACCCCAGGCACCTGTATCGTGTGGGAAGGCCCTTCCCTGCTCCATATTCCAAAGGGGCTGCAGCTTCTGCAGAATTGTGGCGGCCCGGGGTCTTATGTACGCAGGCCGCCCGCCACGTATTTTCTTTGCGATATGGGGAGGGGGAGGGCGCTTCCATTTTGATAACCTTT